AGCCAAAGCAGTGTCTCAAAAGTTGCACCCCAGTTCATGCGTTTTATACCCTAGGTAACCAATTAGGTGACCTAACTGGTTACCTAATACACATCTAATACATCGATACATCAATGTATGCACCCCCTCCCATGCTGGAGAAAGAGTCCTTTCTTCTGTCAAGGACCAGACATTTCCCATGTCTATTTCTTACCTGCTCGAGATTCACACAGGCTTGCCATGCTCTTACTCCCTGCACATTTGCAACTTTCATGGTGGCTAGAACCAGTCTCCACTGTCCCTTTGATTACTGTATTCGAGGTCAGGCTAGTGTGTTAGGTGTGGGTTACACAAAGTTCATTTTGTTCTTATCTGCCCTCCCTCCTGGGACAGTACAACTGTGGTGTTTTTACTATGTGGCCTTCCTCTGGCCAATTACTTTTGGGGTGTTTTGGGGTGCTGCAATTGGCAACAATAGCCTTCAACTGGTGGAATAAGAATGCTGGATCCAACCCAATGATTGGGGAGACACAAGATCAAGTTCCCATTCTTGCTTATCAGAGAAACTTCAAGCCAACCACTTTCTCTCACTGAATCAAAGAAAGGCAAGGGAGGGCCAAGTGCACTGCTCTTTTCGCTTTAGAACAAGGGTGGAGCAAACGTGTAATAAAAGGCTAGTCCACTTTGCCCAGCTTCCAGCAGGAGAGCTTCTCTCAGTTTTGCAATTGTAGTGAAAATATTCCCCCGAAGGATCCATCACCCACTCAGTCCACCCTGCCAGGAGCCATATGCGGGCCCAGAAGGGAACACACTGCCCTCCAAAAATCAGAGCTCAAGTCCGCAGGAGAGCAACAACAAAATCAGATTTGCATGTGCTAATTTACATATACAGTAGTACCTCGGTTCACAAACTTAATTCATTCCACGATTCTGGTCATGAACCAAATTGGTCACAAACCAAGTCAAATTTCCCCATAAGGTTCAATGCAAATAAGGTTAATCTGTTCTGAACCATACCTTTATGTTATACAAAAAGGATGGCATATAAAAGTTTTAAATAAATGTTTTGGGTTTTTTTTTTTTTTTTTTACCACAAAGTGGAGTGGGAGTGGGGCCATGGCTCCTGCGCCTCTGCCGTGGCCTTCTCCGAGCGAGCCGCAGCTGAGTAGCTGCCATGCTTCTTCCCCCCATGGTGGGGAGAGGCGAGAGGCACCCTGCTTGGCCAGCTGTGGCCCTGTCCCTTGCCTCGGCCCACGGAAAGCAGCCCTTACCTCCCTCTTCACGGCTTCCCGCTCCTATTCTCCCTCCTGGAGCCAGGGAACCACCTGTGAGGGGGCCTTCCTCCGGCTTGGAAGCGGGGCAGCAGCAAGGAGCCAGGAAGGCCTCAGCCAAGCGTACCCTCATGGCTCCCCCTCATGTCATCCTCTCCCTTTTGGGGGGCGGTGCGACGTCATCCACTGCAGCCCAAGCAAGCGGAAGATGGCTGCGATCGCAATCATGTTCATGCAGGAACTTGGCCACAATCATGGTCGTCACCCGATGAGGAGTTCGCGAACGAAGGCATGATTTTGCCGAAATTTCTGTTCGCGAACCAATTTGGTTGCGAACTGAAGTGTTCATGAACCGAGGTACCACTGTATTCTAAAATGTGTGTGTTTGTTTTCAAGATCCTTATTTCCTGACAGATTTATGGACAAGGAAAGGGGGACACTTCAAGGGAAAAAAAACTCTCAGGCAAGAAAGATTTGGGCAAGAGGGATGGCAGTAGGGGAAGCACATGTGGGTAAAATGCCAGCTAATCCAGGGGGATGAGATGCCACAGGAATCATCAGGCTCCTGGACCTTTGTTTTAGCAAGTGCCGCTAAATGGCGGTGGTGGGGTGATACCTTCACAGACTTCAGGGCTCCAGACAAAAAGTTCGGGCAGCCACTGCGGCTGCAGTGGCTCTCTGAATCCACTCTTTTGATTGATCTGCCACTCTATGCTACTCATCTTCACAGGGAACCAGCAGGGTAAGTCATTATTATCTGTCGCTTATATAGAGGAAAGCTAGATGAAAAAACAGGGGCTGTCCTAAGTCTGAGAAGCAAGGGGGCGGCTTGCTCTTCAGATCCAAATGCAATATCTTCACTGGTACACAGTGCCTTGATCATATGTAAAGCACCTCAGCTAGATGGGGGGTTGGGGTGGGACTATAGACACATGTTCCATAAACATGTATTTTATTTTCTCAGAATTTGTCACATACTACATACCAGTTGCAACCGAGTGTGATTACCAAAAATGCAAACAAATGCACACTCTAGTGGAGGCAATAAAAACTGCAATTCTGCTGTTAATTTGTGTATAGAACAATGTCATAGATCATGGGTCCTGAAACTACGGCCCACAGGCTGGATCTGGTCCGCCATGCGTATTTATCTGGCCCACCATAGAGGTTTTGGACTCATCATGCCTGTGGCAAAGCGCCGGCTTGCTCGCAAGATCGTTTTGGACTCACTTGGAGAAAACCATCTCTGCGCATGCACACCCCTGCCTTTCCGCGCGCTCCCCCTGTGCACACCACCTTGGCAGCCCATGCCCATCGTCAGCACCTTTCAACTGGCCCCCTGTTCAAAGAGTTTGAGGATCCCTGTCATAGATAATGAAAATATTCGGGGTAATGCAAAATCCTGACTAAATAGTAAAAACAGCTCTCCAAGTATGGCAACGATCTGCAAACCAATGCATACAAAATGACATGTGAACCAGGAAATCTAGACATTATTTCTGCACTCCAGCCTTAATCTTTTCCTGCAGTACATGAGTAATAATATTTGTCTATTTTGCAGGGTTGTTGTAAGGCTTACTGAGATAAGATACAAAGCACTCTGAACATCCTACTATGCTTTAATATAAAAGACAGTGTAGGAACAGGTGGAAGGAAAAAATCTACATCAATGGTATGCAAAAGGGGGAGACAGAAGATGCGGAGTAGGGAAGATGCCACTCTAAAGAAACCTTCCCCAACCTGGCCCCTTCCGGATGTGTTGCACACATCCCATCATCCATAACCAATGATTGCATTAGCTTTGGATAACGGATATCATAGCCCAATACATCTGAAGGGTTCTAGGTTGGGGAAGCTACTCTAAGGGTGTAAAGTAGAGCTAATTTACACTCCCTCTGCTCCCAAATAATGTCCAGCTGACCATCTGTGTACCTAAGGCAGATTCTCACTGCACTGGCCCAATGACTGCTGATGGAATCCAGCTGGGAAGGACAAAACGACTATGGGGTGGGGGAAAGAAGAAAACAGCCAGGCTCCTACATCTGCCATGTCTGTCCATCCACCTCTGCCTCAGCCCAAGAGTGAAAAGGAAACTAAGCACTTGGCAGTTAGCCTGTACTGGAGACACCGAGGTTGAAGGAATCACCTGGCTGGACTGGAATGGTGCACGAACCCATAGACTTGCACATGAAATGTCCCCCTTGTTTTCCTTGGTCTGAAGCTGAAAAGGTTCTCTGTCATGTGTTCCGTCCTCTGCTGTATCTTCCCACGCGGCTGAAGGGACATGCGAGTGGCCACAATTCACCTGCCAATGCGTTATTCTACTCAGGTAGGTTAGGTACTTACATCTTACAGAAAGGCCTCCATAAATTGCCAAGCAACCCGTGTGGATCGCACTGTGTCCATCTCTTGAATTGCCTTGCCTAGGGATGTGGACTGAGCTCCAAGGCGATCTCCTGATGTGCCACCGAGATGCAGACTTCATAGATGCGGAAGGAAGCGAAGGCGCCGGCTACAAGGCAACACGTGCCTACTATGTACCACCAGTTGAATGCTCCAAATGTGCTCCCCTTTAAAATGCAATAAACACCAAAACTGACCACAGCTATAACAGAGATGATCTGTATGCAGACCGGTGGATCATTGCCTTTCTCTTGCATAGCCATGTGGATGGCAATTTGTCCCGAGGTGGAATTCCTGATGTTTCTGGAAACCCCAAGGTGTATTATTTTCCCCCCAAGGACAACCAGGTCCCTTGTCTGTATTGTCAAAGGATGAAGTGGATGAGAGAACTGAAAACCGTCCCCTTGTCGTGCATTGATACAGCGTGTAATATATAATAGGACTTGGCTAAAAGGATTACGTGTGTGTGGGTGCTTTATCGTGGTTTCCAATTACGTGAAGTGGCTCATAATCCCGCTGCTTTCATCTAGCAACTTAAAATGCATGATGTCATCTTTGGGGGGTAAGATGTACATAACAAGGAGAAAAAAGTTCCAGTGAAACCATTATATTGCCCCATCTTCAAAGCAGAATGTTCCTTCCAAGACAAAACATCTGATGAAAGTCATTGGCAGCTAAAACAACGTTCGTGGTACTAGCAACATTTTAACAGGCAAGGATCATCTTTCCATACGTAACAGGAGCTATTATTCAAAATACTGAGTTTCTTCATCAGTATCTTCATCAGGTTCTTCTAGGTGAGGGTGGAGAAACTTTTGTACCTGCAGATATTCTGTACTTCAACTCCCATCAGCCCTAGTCAATCATGATCCCTCTAGTGGCGAAGGATGGTGGAAGCTATAGGTAAAACATGTGGAGGTTTCTAAATTGTCCACTCTTGTTCTATGGGGTTTCCATTGCTAGGCATGGAAACTCTCCACACAGGGATAATACTAGTCAGCTTGGTTTTAACTTCAGCAGAGAGCACAGCAGCGGCTTATTATGGAGGTTCAGATGTAGGGTCCTGGGTGTGTCCTAGAGCAGGCTTGATTTGCATGGGATTCTTGTTTGCCCTAGGATAGCTGTCACCTTTGAGTGCACAGCCCAAAATGCATCCGTCTTCTGCTGCAACGACAGCTCAGTTATGGTGGATGAGCGCTACTTCTGCAGCAGAACCTCCTCAGAGCTTCTTGGACAACAGTTTGAAAACCACTGCATCAGATGACAAAGCAGAACACTTAACAACACCAACTGAACTGAATCAACATTATCACAATAGCTATTGCTATGGACACTGGGATTCATGAGAGCCATAAATTTCAATGTGTCATCCCAAAAGGGAATTGGATTCTACCTCTTCTTCTTTTACATGCACAATTGTTACTTAAAATGGGATTTTCTACAGAGTTGCTGTGGTATACCTATGTTTTTCTTCCTTCGGTAACTTACAAATATGAATCAGGATTAATGCAACATTAGACATGTTATCTTTTTCTAAAAGACATTTTATTTCATTGACAGCATTGGTCTCAACATACAACTGAACTCTTAATTTAATCACACATGGAACTAAAATATTCTATGAATGCATTGGCTTTGATATTGCTAAAGAACATATTGATAGAATTTGGTGGGGCAGAAAAAACACAATGTAATCAAACAAACATTTAACCTAAACAAACATTAACCCTAAACCCTTGAAAACAATCTGCAGCCTTTACCTAAATTGGTGTGGGGAAACTCCCACATGTATCATCACAGATTAGGTAAGAAAAATAACTGTGTTTCTTGGAAATGTTCCATATAAACTATATCATTTCAAAATAGGAACATCTGAAAAACAGAAAAAGAAATAATCTATCTACCAGTTTCTAATACTTGGTTTTGTTGGGCTAATGTGTGAAAGGAAATTAGGAATAAGGAAGCTCTATCTATTCATATGTATGATGAACTAAACTTCTATATTCAAGTTTAATAAACTGTTGACATTTAAAACCAGCCAGTAGAAATAGCCCATAACCAAATTTGACATAACACTTTCCCTCTCTTTTCAATATTTTCCTGGTATGAGCATTAAAACACAGTAAAATGTTTGCTTGGCATGAGTGCAATCAATGTTATGCATTTCTAAATTGTCATGTGCAATCATTTACAAGTTCCCATTCATGCACCATATCCACCATTTGTACTCACCTTTCACTGCCAATGAAACATAAGCTATTAAAACAAAGGCTGTTATCAAGGTTTACCACTAGACAAGCTGTGGAAGTTAATGGTGGGGTTATCTTCTACAGTAGGGGCAGGCAGCTTTGAGGAATCGGGGGGCCATTTTTGCACCCCCTGCAAGCCACCCTCCTGCTACTGTCATAGTACTGGATTTGGTGACTTCAAAAAGAAGTAAGTTTTAATTTTTTTTAAAAAATCGGAAGTGTCAATGGCAAAACAGTACAGGTGCCATAGGCTGCATGTTGCTGAGATAAAATTGATACATTTACTGCTCTGGGGCAGTGCAGCGCCTCTTGTTTTGCCATCACTAATTTCAGCAGTGCAGAAACAGACATCACAGGCTGCATGGGGAGGTGGCAGAATGGGAAGCCATTGGGAACACAGGCTCAGTTTAAGCCTCTCATACTAGTTTTATGGTCTTATTTTTCCTAAAGATGGGGCATTCACAACTGAGAAAAACCAACACAGCTCTGTCATTTTGTTAAATGTTGGGACCCTCAACTAAGTGGTTTGCTTCTGAAAAGTTCAGTTTCCAGTTTCATACATATTATCACATTCTCCATCTCTCTAAACCACAAGGAGCAACAGCAACCTCTAAACTGTGGAGAGCAAATTACTTTTTCCTGAGTAAAGGTTTAGAATTTGGTCATTCCGTGCAGTAAAGAGAAACACCACACTGATCCACTGGCTACTGGATGGCCACGCATCACCAAGCAGTACAAGCTATTGCAGTGTTCTTCCAAAAATCATACACAAAGCAGTTCTGGCAAATCCAGTTCCTGCTGTTAATTCCTTTGAGATAACACGTTAAAGCAAATGTTACATTCCAGGTTTAGACAAGCAGCAGCAGATACAAAGTGCCCAGTTCCCAAGGCTCTGGAAACTTAACTGGGGTATCTGCTGCCAAGGTGTCTTGGCAAAACACATTTCTGTCCAAAACCTTGCTGCACAATTGGAAATTCTTCTCAGGTTGCTTTGATCCTGGCTTCAGTTTGGAAGTTCTTGAAATGGCAAAAAGTTTAATCAGCCAAGTATTAAAAGAATATAGGCTTCATATCTTTGATCCAAAAGAAAACATGAATAGAAATACATGGTTTAGACAGCAGGAGCGGAGTGGGAACGTCCCATGATTTGTTTAGATGCAGACTGTGTGCTCTTCAGGACTGAGCAGAAGGGAAATGGGCTAGAGCAGTAGCCAGCTGTCTATAACACTGAACTGGCAAATCTAGGACCACAAAGATCCTAGTCTGCCCACCATACCTATAGCCCTTTCTCGGGTGTCTTTGTAGTGCAGTGCCTTTCTTTAAAACTATGATGCCAAATGGGAAAAATGCACAGAGGGGGCTTTGAGGGCAGCCAGATCTGTTGCAGTGGGCAAAAGACAAAAATCAAAAACTAAGATAGGATTCAGAGGTTGATTCATGTAATGTGTGCAGCATGTAGGTGGCAAGGAAGGGGATGGCATGAAGCACAGGACAGAAAATGATGCCCGGCTTTCGGTGCACATACTAAATTGGCTCACTGAATGAAGGGATGTATCATTTCTGCACATATTAAAGTTTGAGATTTTACATAAACGTGTTTGGACTCAAAATCACACAGATCTGTCTTAGCTTTAAAAGTTGTTACTGAAACTATATGGGAACAACATGTGCATGCCTAAAATAACTCCTTCAAAACTCCAGATACTTTTCAATGTATATGATGCTTTAAGGCCAACATACGTGATCTGTAGTATCAGTATTTCAATTTTTACCTTCTGTCAGATTAGTTTCCTAATAACCATTTTCAAAAATAACTGGCAGAGCACCATCCTGTGCACGATTAGACCCCCCCCCCAAAAAAACCCCCCAACAACCTTTTAGATCTTTCTTTCTAAACATGCATAGGATTGATTTTTAACAAAATAAATGACTGAATGGGGGAGGCAAGAATGACTAATTGGTGTGTATGTGCGTGGGTGTGACAAATGAACTTCCCAATATAATGAAAGACTAGATTAATTCCCCAGAAGGCACATCAGATATGATACCATTCTCCCCTTATTTTCTAAATTGTGTTTTAAAGCTGCATCAGTAAATAGTGGCTAATAGGCTTAGCCGTAGATATTCCTTGACTGTTGGTTGCAGTCACCAATCTTACGTAATTTCACTGGATAAAGTGGCTAAGGAATCATCTATGTACTAAGAATTGGAAGGAGAGCACTTTAATCAGACACTTTAAAAAATGGAATGTTTCTAACCTCATCTTCGCCTTAATCATCATTCACACAATCTTTAACAAGGACTTTTATCTTTCAAATCAAGGGAAGACAAGTACTTGACTGGACATCCACATGTGCAACAACAGATCTTGCACATACTACAAGTATGAACAAGCCCTGCTTCAGACTGGCTATCTGCCAGTTAATGCTGTCTTAAAGTCATCCTACTTTCAGACCTTCCTCACACAAAACTTTGCATTTACAACATTATAACCAATATCCCAATCATGCCAATCACCAAATTCCCAGGCAAGTGAAGTAAGTGGAAGTAAGAAAACATTCTAGTTGAAAGAAAAAGTTCAGGCACAGTGGTATTTCAAAGCATTTACCAACAAACCTTGAGACATAGAAAGAAAGTTTAGAAAGATGCATAGGTGTGATTACAAGAAGGGACACAGTCTCATAGTGGAGATGCAAGTTGCTTTCCCTAAATCCTTACAGTTGCAGCTTGGGAGTGCACATACGCTCGCTCGTCCTCTGAAAATGCCCTGCAAGTGACTGTGGTTCCAGTACGAATGGTGCAACGGAACAGGTGTGTCTATGTCAGCACAGAGTTCTTTGTGCCTCGTGATATCTGCCCATCTCCCAGAAATCTATGTCTTCTTGTGGTACCTTCCAGGTATTTTGGACTTCAATTCCCACAAGCCCTAGCCAGAATCATTGATATGCAAGGATTATGGGAGTCATAGTCTAAAACAGCTGGATGGCACATGGGTGCCTACACCTATGCTAACCAGTCAATTTCTTTCCATAAAACACACACACGTACATGTACACACTTGTGCACAGCCTACTTCTTCCAGATTCTGAAGCATATTACTCAGGCCGCTAATCCCAGAGATCAGAGACTTTTCTGCAGCTTTTCTCCAGCCTCTCCAGCAAGCTGCTCACTTGCATGAGAAAGAACTGCATTTTCTTTCTTTTTTGCACTTGCTTTCTCTTTTTTATACTGTGTGTGTATAAAAATCAGATTTGGTTTTTTGTTTGTTTCTGTGAGCCAGCCAGGCAAGAACTGGACGCCAGAGAAAATGATAAAGCAAACACCACATTTTTATCTAGCCTCTTGGGATCTTTGGGATCACTGATCTTGCTTTTGAGATCTGAGTTAACAGCTTCTCTATTAAGCTTTTGAGCCCGGACAGCCACAGCATAGGCAAGGGATAAGTGTGCAGACAGTGGGAAATGTTCTGAAAGTGCCACCCAGGTAAACAGACATGCTAGTATGAAATGGAAAAGCAGGCAACTGGCTTCTTGCCAGCTGTGTTGCAAATAATTAGGATGATACTCTGAGATATTAAGCTCATTCTCTACTTGCTGTACATTTCTTTTCAGCAAATGAAAAGCTGAAGAAAGGGCAGAGACTTTACTGGGGGTCCTGTACCTGCACAACAATGCATTCTAATCACCAATTAGCAACTTTTCTTTTAATACTAAGGTTAGTTTCAAAAGCACACCCAGCAACCAACATCATAGCAAAGCTTTAAGAGCAGGATGGTGGATGGAAATGATTTATAGTCTAATGAACGCCTCCTCCATTCAAGGAGTATGGAAAAAGAACTGCTCGTTTCTTTCTCTCCAGGTCATCCGCAACTCTCCAAGGAGGTACCTAGCAGCATTTTAGGGTTAAGAGCATACATGATGGTGGGAAGTGTCTGTGAAAGCAATAATCTCCTGCCACTGGCTTTCCTGCTTTTAAAGAATTAACTGCCTGTGAGGGCTAGTGTATTCTTCTAGTTCTTCAGTTAGCAGGAAATTGCGTTTTTTCTTCATTCGACTGCTCCTCTTCAGTGACACATCCTGGCTGTCATCTCTTTCTGTAAAAAAGGATGGATTAAAAGTCAAAAGGCATTCATTTAATAAGACACAAATCTGGACACATTTCTGACTTTGGCACCAAGATCTAGAGCAACACTGGCTATGTGCCTACACCACAGTCCCTGCTTATCTATTCTCCATTATGCTCAAAGGCAATATTCACACATGGCAATTAATCTACTATCCTTTATCATCCTGACAACATTAATGAGTTATGAATATCCTAACCTTCTGCATCCTACCAAATATACTTAAAATTACCTGCACCGCTTATCAGAAAAAAACATTTCAAACTGATATAATGAGAATCTTAATATACCATTAAGTTCTTATCACACATTAATTTTCCATCAAGGAGTTGACAGACATTATGGATCATGAGTGCTGTAAAATCTCTCATTTTATGGACTATGTCTTAAATACATAAATATCTAAAAAAGTATGGTATAATCTTGCACAAAGTTTTTGAATTCTGTGGGTGTTTATTTTTAAGTTAGCTTCTAAATGAAATGTAGCTAAGACCCCAAACTAGTAAATGGAGGGACCTGGTTGTAACTGGCTATTCCCCAGCCTCGGCTGGAAGGACAGAGTCATTTCCACATCAGATGCATACTCCCGTTCAGTACAACCCCAGGTCTGCACTCTACTTATTTGATTTGTATTGATGCTGCTTTGATCAATCTACCAAGAAAAATGGCAGCCCGGGCAGCCAACTTGATTAAAAGAATAATAAAATAAAGCCGTCAAAACAACAATAATAAGACAACAAAAACAGAATAAAAATAACATTCAACCCAACAGATCTGTTTACAGCCAAGGCCCCATTATCATCTTCATCTGACGGCCACTGGCTAGCCTCCCCTAGCATGAAGTGCCACAAGCTTGAAGCAGGTACTGGAAGGTCACTCTGCTGAACCAGCCCGCCAGCAGCTCAATAACTTTCCTGTATGTATGGCTTTCCCACGACTGCAAGAACAGAGGGGTTTGTCAAGCCACCATTCATGGTTCACTGGGACGGGTTCAGACTGGGTGGATGACAAGTTGGGCAGTGCTCTTTTATAGAATTAAAGTCAATGTGTTTATTTTATACTGTAGCAACTACAATGGTGATACAAATGAAATCACACACACAACTTTCCATATGGCTGCTACTTCTTTGCATATGTCCTGGCCAAGCTTATTAGAGAGACTGAATAATGAGACCTCACGCTTTCCAAGAAATTTATGACTTACACTATAAAAGGATCTGTACATTATGGTTCTGTTTTTATGAACTATCTGAATTAGCCTTTACCACCTAGCTTGCTTTTTATGGGGTTCAAAGACTCCATCTTACCTAGAACCACCTTCCCCAACTTGGTTTGGACTGCAACTCCTAGAATTCCTGCCCATGGGAACTGTAGTGATGGGGGACACCTGGTTGGGAAAGATGCAGAGTTGGGAAGAATTGCCTCACTGGCTAATTTTTGGTGTACAATCTAGTACCTATCAGGCTTCCTGTAAAGAAAGATGCACTCTGTGAACCTTGCTCTGAACACTGAAAGTGCTGCTTATGTCCTCAGATAATACTGCACATTCAGAAACACTTGACAGGGAATGTAAACCTTATTTAAGCCATCTACCCCAGTCACCCTGTGCCTTTGCCGTACTGGTTGCCTCTTGTTTTTCTGCTCTTCTTTTAATCTTTTCCTCTTTGATTGGCAAGACTTTTGGCAGAGCCTTTCTAAATACTGGTACAGCAGCATTTTTCTTAGTACCTGATAAATAAGATGTACTGTCCTATTAAAAATATTGCTATATTAACAACAGTTATGGTACAAGTGAGGATTGACCAAATATGGAACTTTTGACAAAATGGCAGGGTACAAAATTCACAAAATGTGGTTTCCCTAGTCATATTCCAACCAGTCCAAAATGTTCAAACACGTAGTTCAAACATCAGCTCCTGTTTCATTAGCATTCTGATTTACAACCACAGATATGGCACCAAACCTATTGCTGTCGCTGTTCGGCAGGGCAAGGAAACTTGATGTTTTACAGCAGTACTGCCTTCCAAAGAGAGGGATAGGATACAAGTGGTTATTTACTTAAAAGGTTCTTCCTAGTTCCAGACTTAATTGAAAGTTGCAACTGAAGCCTAAACCAAGACATGGAATTAAACACATCTGCACTCCAAAGTCTTTGGGCTACCCCTAAATCTTCCTGAGCAATCACAAGATGATGCTCTAATGAACTTCTGAATTATGATGCCAAATTTAAATGTATGTCTTAAGCCCTCAAGCGGATTCCCCCCCGCCCCAATAAATAAGGAACACTTGAAAACTCCAGAAGAGTCTTTGGACTGATGCCGATCTGATCTCCACACCATCAAGAGGTAAGCCACTGCCTGTATAATGATGGTCCAAAACTGCATTTGTGATCAAAATGCCTAACTCAGCCCTGATTACTGGAACACAAATGCATATATGAAAAAGCTGCTGCAGTTCTGGATTTGAATTAAACAACACTTGGTTCATAAACTGTAGGGGGACTGGAATCTTACCCTTGGCTACAAACACACCAGGAGGCGCTGTGAGCAAGGAAAAGTCGAGGTAGCAAAACTCAGTTGATACAAAACCACCCTTTCTTGCTTTCTTACCATGAAGACTTCACATCACACAATACATAGGGCTAGCTCATTTATAACCTGTAGTATTGTGTAAGTGGCCCCGGGCACTTTGTGGTATAGATCAGCATATAAAATAAAACAAACAAAAAGGTATTTAAACAAATAAATACTAGAAACCTGTTCTATGCGGGCTTTCACTCCAGTGCTGTTTCACAACAAAACAGCAACAAAACCCTTGGAAAACATCTGAATTGGAAGCAGCATAAAATGGAAGGAAGCAATATGGTAACTCAGCATTCTAAGCAAGCCACTGGCCTACACAGGCCAAAAGACAAGGCTGTGTGGGCTTGTGAATGTCTGCAATTTCAAAACAAAAGCAAATTCTTCCTCGCTCCCTCCGCCACACACACACACACACACACCACTACCTTCTTGTTCAGTTTGTTAGAAATTATAAAGACTAAACAATAAAGACATTTGTTTCTTGGCCACAAATGCAAAGCTGTTTGTTTTCAAACTCTATCTGGAATTTCAAACTCTAGGCTTGCAAAACTGCAATTCTTTTTTTAAAGCACTTCGTTTATTATGAAAGCAATGTGGACTGGCAGCAAATGTAAAAGTGGCAAAGTAATGTGTACACAGTTTTACACTCAGCACAGAAAAGAGCAGCTGCCTTGCGAAACAGAAATCCAAAAATATTCTTTTTATTATATTTGCTGCAAAGCCAAATTGCCAGTTCTCTTCAGATCTAAATTTTAGAACACAAAATTTTAATTGAAGTTTACATACAGAAACGATGATGATGATGATAATTCCCATGCACATCTGACTACAGAATGGAGGAAGGGCCAACTGGCATGAAACAAAAAAGCAAGTGGTGGTGGGGAGCAAGTTTTAATTTGTAACAACATGCAGAGTGTGGTGCTGCCAGCCTCTTTGGTTGTGTGCAATTATATATAATAATACTTGTTTATATATTGCATCTCCTAAATGCTCAATGTATGCTGTATATGTTACAAGTCAATTAAGGAGGAGCAGGCTGATCTGGCGTGTACTAGTGGGACCTGGCTGGGTGAACTGTGAGGTGACCTGATCCAGCACAGCTCACCTGGGTACTTCGTGCAGCGCCAGCACAGGCTGGAGGAGCTGCTGGAATTCAGCTGACTTCCACTAGGGAAACACGTTGGGGATGTGGCTGGTGCTTTGCCCACCTTGCTGCCAAGCATCCCCCCTGAGCAAGCTGGCAGAGGGGGCCTCAAGTATGATGTGGGGGGAGACTGGGGCAGTGGTCTGGGAGACAACTTTCAATGCTGAGGCTTCCTCTGGAGCCCCGGCTTGAGACTTCGTGGCCTCCATCAGTTGTTCATCAGCCCAGCACATGAAGCAGGGCATACCTTGGCGTGCTCTTTGTTCCAGGTCATAAGATAAGCAGTCTGAAAACGGGTGACCAAGGAACCCTGCTGCCATAGGCATTTCCTAGTGAGAAATCCCCTGCCTCTGGAGGTCAGACAGGAACCAACACTGTTGCTGTCAGTGCCTTGTTCCGGGAAGCCTTTTTTGCTGACCAGCCACAGTTTAAATGTTTGCTATGTTTTTAATGTATTGTTCTTCTTCTTTGTGTTGCTTTAGCATTATACAGTTTACCGCTCCTGAGTTTGCTTAGAAAGGGTGCAGTAGCAGGACTGTAAATAGCAGCAGCAGAAGCAGGACATTTAAATCCTACTTTTCTTCAGCCCATATGTGTGATATGCAGAGACCATGAAGAAGAACTCAAGATAGCTTGCAAGGTTCTCCTCTCTATTTTCTTCCTTGCATCAACAACCCTGCAAGGTAGGTTTGGCTGAATGGTGGTGACTAGACCAAAGTCATACAATGGGACTAAAACCCAGATCAATAACAACCATGCCACACTGGCTCATAAAATAAATAAAGTGGAGAATGATATTGGTTCCCCCATATTATGAAGTGGGAATTTGCTGCTATTCACATTACAGAATCAATTGATGCTGAGCTGAGACCAGAGCTAGTAACCTTCTAGCATACAGCTCATCCTCTTTCACCATCACAATCACCTTTCACCATACATCAGATCAGTATTTCTAAGAATCTTGTTCTGTTCTTCATAGATTTGTGCTCATGTTAGCATTCTTTATATCTTTTCTTCCCCGTGAGAACAGTAGTCTGTACTTACATATGGCAGTAAAATTATTATGCAGTACAGCTTTGATGTGGAAATCATGCAGCAGCTCCTCTAAATCAATCACGTTTCACATTCATATAATTAACATTGAAAGCCAGAATAGACCCATCACTGTACAGGCTAGAAAGCTCATTTGGGAATCTTTTCCAACAAATATGGGGATGCCCTGGAAGGTGCCTTCAAGCATCCTTGAAGATGATTTCTGTAACATCTTGGGCTTAATAAACATATTTCTGAACGATTAGATACACTCTTCCTGTTTTTCCCATCATTTTGGTACTGAAGAGAATAAACTTCCCACTGCCACATGGAAAATGTGCATGTGTTTAGCCACTACCAAGTGAAGTGAAGTGGAAAGCTACTAAGAGGCCTTTTCAGTTGTGGCACCCCAGCTGTGGAATGACCACCCTGGAGAGGTTTGCCTGGCGTCTAAGTTGTGGTCGTTTCGATACCAGGTGACCTTCCTTCCCCAGTAGGCGCCTGCTACAGGTGTGCAGACTTTCCCCCCATTAGAACCCCATGCTATGCCTGCCTGCCTGGCAGAGAGGAGTTTTACCGACTGTACATGGATAGAATGTGTTGCACAAACCCACCCATTCTCTCTGTCTTTAGCCTGTTCTTTCCTAGGAGAGGGTGGGAGAGCTTCTTAACAATTATTTACATTTAGAAGTAAAACTCCAGGGCCAATTCAGAAAGAAAAGCAGTCATGTGAGGACAGGACAGGAATGAAAGAGTTAGTGAAAAATTAATGACAGACCAACATTTTACTGTAGTTAATTCTTTAAAAGAATTCTGAAAACCTCCTTGCCTGTGCACTCACATAGTTTCGGTTATATACCCGAGCCTGCGGTACATGTGTATTAATATTTTACAGTCTCACAGCCCTTCCTTTCACACCATTATCTTTCTCTCGACACGGCTTGCCTCAGAGGCCAAGGTCCAGTAGGCCATACCTTTTTGCTCAATGAAAACTGCAGCGATTTGCTCAGGTGAATTGACTCTACGGATTCAAATGGAAGGTTTCCAAGTACACATTGTGGACACACTCAGTTTACATTCTCAGGCCCTTTGGAACCACACGTGGATTTCCACAAAGCTGGGAGAGCAGACAGACATTTGTTCAAACTATTTCCTTAGACAAATATAGAGGTAACTGCTGTACCATCAAACAGTTTGGCAACAACAAACATATGCTTTCCTAATACGTCTTGGTTTGTGCCATTGTTTTTTTATTTTCACCTGAAATGTGACTCCATTACAGTCACTAACATAGCCAAGCAATGCACCCATAGATCAGGAGCAGGTAAAAACCAGATGATTCCCACCAAGTCCCCAAAAGTCTGAATAACACCAGAACGGGTATGGCCACAGTTCTGACATCATTAGGTCCCTGACTATTGGTAGAAGAATCTTTACAGTGCATCAGGCACATCCTAGCTTTGCTATGTGCGAAGCCACTTAGCCTGCCCCATGCATTCTCCTTTGGGGTGAGAATGTGGGGCGGGCACAGCCACTGTACTTAAGCCAATGGCTAGAGTGCCACCTCAAGTCATGGTCGCTTCACCACGTAGCAGTTTCCCCAGTGAGAAAGCAGCCACATGGGAAAATTCCTTGTTTGCACCCACCACTGTTATCTCCAGCCTGCCATCAAACACTACATCAGGTATTCCTCCAGGGGCAGGAGAAGACCTACTTTATAGAGGAACCCATGGAGGTTCTGTAAGTTGGACAGAGAATGGGCCAGAGATTCCCCCACTACCGATCATGACATTAAGGTCCAATTGAGTTGACAGCCAAAATATTGCTAAGGGTTCACAGGGGGATATCACTTGTACTGGGCTTCAACAATATAATTTCTTGGTTTTCCTACATGGATAACTGGGGGAAGTCAAGGTCAAGTTTGGTTTAAACTAAGGTCATTCCTGATACTCTAATATGATTAGGTCAGTTACTGAATGACCATTATACTTCCAGGATAACTGAACTTTGGCACCTAGTACAGATGTAAGAGGGATCAGTGCCACCTTGGAAGTCCCAAGGTCTTCCAAGAAGAAATATCCAAAACAGCAACCCCATTCCCATCGTGTTACCCCTGCCATAAACTGCTACAGCTGAACAGGCCCAGAAGATCTGCAGACTAACATAATCTGGTAAGCATCCCTGTCAACAGAAACAGAGCTTTGGTAAAACAGCTTGACTGTCCAGTTCTGCAAATGGCACAGGAGGAGGCGTGGAAGATAATGTCTGAGTACTTTATAATGTGGTGTAGCAATGCAATTCACTCAGCATGTACAAGAACATAAGAAGCTTCTTCATTCTGGTTTATCCAGTTCAGTATCTGCTCTTGTTGGTGGTGCTCCCTAGGGGCTTGGACGCAGGCCTATCCTGGTCCTTCCAGCCAAGGTCCTTTGAGAGGAGATACTGGAATTGAAACCTCAGGCCTCTGGGGTTTGAAGCACAGGCTATCTTACTACTCCATGGGCCTTATGGAAAAGGTAAAGATTCCAAAAGTATCTCAATCCCACAACCTGCTGCTTCTTAGCTTTCCCCATGAACTGCTTGCCATACCTCTGCTCATTTATTTATTTATTTATTTATTTATTTATTTATTTATTTATTTAAACATTTTTATGCCGCCCCATTCGCTGAAGCCTCGGGGCGGCTCACATCAATAAATTAAAATAATTATAATATAAATTAAAATATAAATATAAAATTAAAATACAACAGTACAGTATAAAATAAGCCGCCCTGGCCAGGTAAAACCAATAATATTAACAGTTAAAATGCCGCTTGAATAAAAAAGTCTTCGCCTGGCGCCGTCGTTATTTGTTTTTCGGCGCCAGGC